TGTATACATTTTTGGCATATTTATATACTTAAAAGGGTTAATACTTTGGAGGGAAACCAATTATGATCCATGTATTAATTGTGTACATGATTTTTGTTGTTCAATAAACATCATTTTTACTAGAAATATCATGTCTAAATCTCTTTTCTTGTTTGGTGGCTAGAGATATTTGGGTGTTAATTCTCAAATGTTGGAAGATTGGTCCTAGTTGTCTTTTAACAGATGAAACGATACCACTGTAAGATGCCACCTTGCTACTTTGATATTAAATGAATTTGGAGCTTAATGCCACTTTGCTACTTTGATATTCAATGAATTTGGAGCTTCATGGAAAAAAATAAAAGTTCTCTAATTCCTACATAATGTTTAAAATATGTTTCACTAAATTTGGTAGAATTCAATGCATTGGGAAAAAAGTTGGTAGAGTTTATGATAACGTGGCAATCCATTGAACTCTATGGAGTTTAATACATTGTGGATTTAGCAACCAAAAAACCATATGTCAAACCAAGTCACTAAATCGGTAGCATCTCTTTAGGTGATCGATGACGAGGTGATGCCTTATCTTTCCTTTGAATTAACAGCTGAAACAAACGTAATTAATTAAGTTGAGTTAACCTGTGTTCTAATCTTAGATCAGATTGCTTCTTATACTTGCAATCCTTTTGGTTTCTTTCCTTGCTTTTCTAGTTAGTGATTGTATCTTAGTTTTCAACGGTTAAAAGTAATTCATCACAACAGGGATGGGACACAAATCTTAGAAGTACAGGGGACAAAATCAAATTTTCAAAAAAAAAAACCCATATATTTTAACAAGCAACTAAACTTCAACAAAAATACAAGTTGGCATAACAAAATAAAATAACAAATTAACAAATTAAATAAATATATTTTTTAGTTATAAATTTCTAACTACTTTACATACTTCTGTTATTTCCATAAAAATTACGGTCGTTGCAATTGTCTATAAAGTATTATATAAGATTAATTTACATTTAGAATTGTTGTTTTCTTTTAACTTTCAAAACTGTTAATATAAGATTAATTTACATTTAGAATCGTTGCAATTTTCCTTTAACATCATCACAGGTACATAAATCTTTAAAAAATTATTTTACTTTGTAGAATTAAAAACTTTTAATCCAGTTTCTACATGTACATGATTTTGCTGCATATATAATTGAAGTTTAGTATAACAAAATATTGCAATTAAAAAAAATGCTTTTATTACATATAACACACAACCAATAAACATAACATAACACAACACAACATAAGTACATAACATAACAATGTAGCACAACATCTGATACATCCAAAATCAAGTATGAGATCTTGATTTATTTAATTTTTGAGATGGTGAGCCTCTATGTCTTTGGTAACCTTCTTGAAGAATTCCAAAAGGGTATCCGGATCAGGAACATTAGGATTCAGCTTCTCATACTCAATAGTCCATGTGACAAGGTTGTCTGAACCATGTGTGTCTACATGAACATGCACAACAAAGGTCTTATAGAATTCCAAGATATCACTACCGTCCAGTGCCTTGAAGGTGATCGACTTTTTTGCCTCATCAATTTCCTCGATTAGTGTTTTTACAACGCTATCTTTCCCATCTGCAACAACATGTCATCCAAAACATTGATTTCAAGTGTGAACAAATAAAATAAGTGCATATATATACTGATCTTATGTGTTGCGTCAAAGTAGAAGTTAAAAGTCTATCATAAGGAAAGATGATGAGGGCATATATCATATATATGAATGGTTTACCATGAAAATAATGCCACAAGAGAACACAGCCCACGGTTCCAGCTTCACCTTCAAGAGTTTGACAGTTTTGGTAGGTAGTCGGGCTCAAGGTGGGAATATGGTGTGGGTTTGTCTTCCATAACTCGTGAAAGACATCACAGTCTGATTTAATGTCAAACTGAGCAACTTTTTTTCCACTTAGTGCCATCTCTCTCTACAAATTGAACATGCATGTTCGTGTCATGATCATTTATAGCTAGATGTCCTCCCCTTCCTCTTCCTCATCACCTAATAATTTAATCACTTTATATCTCACTGCCTGTAGCAGATATTAATTATATCATTATAAAATTTGAAAATACTGTATAACCATGTGATTCATGTCTAATTGAATCTAAAATCATTCAGAATAGTGAGTTTAATTAGAAAGTTAAATGAAATGGCAAGCCTAGTTGTCATTCAATAAATGAAACTTTACTATTACGAGATATCACCTTGGCATTTAATTGATTTGGAGTTCAATGACCATTGAACTTTTGAATGGAAAAAAGGAAAGTTTTCTAATTCATAAATATACACTATAAATTAGTTTTTTTTAATATTATATTGAACTTTGTAGAGTTCAATATATCGTAGAAAAAAATTGATAATGTTGTATGGATTGTAGTAAATTGATGTGGTAGTTCATTAAACTCTCTAAAGTTCAATAAATTGTGGATGTCCTAAACCGTTAAAAAAGAATTTGCCAATTTGGGTCATGTGTTCTTTATTAAAAAATACAAACAAGAGAAATCGGTATCTGTATTTTGTTTATTAACATTGGGAATTCTAATTTTTATTCGAACAACAGGGAATTGGTGCATTATTATCTACTCTTCCATCGTATTAATGACACCTATTTTCTTTTTGTATTTACAAATCGCAATCCATATCATGCATTTTATATCAATTCCAACCTTACAGTTGACCCAAACTCTAGAATCATTATTATTGAAGTACTTATATGGTGTATGGATGAGATGAGATTAATAATAAAGAAATAAGAGTTGGCTTCAACTTTGATTATTAAAATATTATCTATCTATTTGAAATCTACTTGATTACCAAAAAATATATGATTGCGGTTGACAATCTGGACAAAGATTATTTTTTTATTAAACAGTGCAGGAACATTTTAATGTCAAATTGCGTGTATGTTGTGTTTGTGGAAATTCGAGAATAGGGTGTGTTACAGATAAAAACAATATTGCTTGGATAGTGATAAATCATGTATTCAGTTTCCTTTGAAAACTATATTTCCGGCCATCCTATGTCTGGTTCAACAAATGTTTTCGAATAGGATAAAATAATCATAAAACACTTTGATAAGGATAATGAAAAACCAGAATCGTAATGTGTGACTTGTTATGAAATGCGTTATTCTTAAAAGCTGGAGTATAGCCTCTATTTATACGCACGGAATCTACAAAATGGATAAGAATAATGAAAAACTGTGTTTTTGGGTTGCGGTTATAGAAAAGCTATAATCATATGGTGATACACTGATACCTAATATATACAAATTCAAGTCCTATCCATCCTAACTGGGTTGATACACCAGGTTTTATGTCAATATGGAGTGTGAGGTTGGGAGTTCAATCCCTTAAACTATCTCTTGTGGTGCCACATATATATCGGGAATTTTTCCTTGAAAATCCTTATGGGTTTGCCCTGTAAAAATGCTCGAACCCGGTGTGTTCACGTAAATATTACGATTATATTTACGCTTAATTCGTTTGCCGTTTCAAAAAAAAAAAAACTAATATATACAAATGTTTGGATGCTACAATTTGATAGGTGCTATTTCCATTTATCACAACCCCAACGATTAACCTGAACCAAAAATCAATGAAGTTGTGTAGACAGAATCCACCACGCCCTACTTATACAAACAAGGAAGAATTGCCTAAAGATTATTCCAACAAGGAAATTAGAAAAAATAATCAAATAAAATAAAATAAAAAAAACATTTATGTAACACAAATGAGCAGTAAGAAAAAAATTTAAGTACTTTGCCTGCTTGCGATTATGGGTAAAAAAGAAGATACAATATCAGTATTGATAAAAAATAGTTAAATATGTTGCTTTTCCTCGCAATTTGTTGTACCAAAATTGATATATAATGATTTGAAAATGCTTCTATAAAACTATTTTTCTTACAGGACACAATAAATACAAATTGTTAGAATATGGTTCAAAGTTAAAAAACGTAGAAGGTACAACTAATAGATAATGGTAACATGCTCATTTCTGTCACAATTATGGATAAAAATAAAACACAATTAAAACACTCCAAACTTGAATCCCTTCTTAAGGAAAAATGTAGAAAGTATGATTAATACATAATTTGTAAAGTACAATTAATATGAGAGCGCCCGACAACTTTGACAATGCTTGGAAACCCTCTCCATGACATGCAATAAGGATGTGAAAGGCTATCCAATTGTATAATGAACTGTCGTAACATCATTATCGGGGACTCGTCTGTGACTCATCTGTCACCGAGTATTGCCACTACTAGAAAAACAGCCTTTTACGATGTGCAATGTGTGTCGTAAAACGTTCAGACGACGCGCAAATACGTGTCAAGAAAGGCCCTGTCATAACGAGAGACGACACGCTTTTGCGCGTCGTCTATTTACGACGCGCATTT